CCTTCTGACCATCACACGACTGCCATGGTGCCCATGCACCTACCTCCGCCTCAAATAATAAAGATATATTTTTAAAGCACCTGGAGAGTGGAGGAAGAATAGTAGGAAGCCTATCTACCTGGCCCTGTAGTGAGTTTGAGGCCAGCCTATACCTCATGAGATTCTGTCTCAAATGCCAAACTTCAACAACAAAAGAACATTACATCAGGCTAAGATGACTTAGTTTGTGCTATAAATGGTTGCACTATTAAAAATCTAAAGAGAGCAGGGCATTGGTAGCACATACCTTTAATCCCAGCCCTTGGGAGGCAAAGGTAGGCAGATCTCTCTTGAGTTCTAGACCAGCCTGGTCTACTAGAGCTAGTTCCAGGAAAGGCTCCAAAGCTACACAGTGAAACCTTGTCTCAAAAAAGAAGGCTTTGCTGGCAGAGAGACTACTGTGGGTAGTACAGAGAAGCTTATAGAGATGACAGATCCTCTTGGGAGGTAGAGGAAGTAGGTCTCTGTAGGCTCAGGACCAGACTGGTCTATATAGTAAATTCCCAGTTAGCCAGGGCTGCATAGTAACAACTGTGAAAGCAAAACTTCGCAGAACCTTTTAGAATAGGAAGGGCTGGAGAGATGGCTCAGAGGTTAAGAGCACTGACTGCTCTTCCAGAGGTCCTGAGTTCAATTCCCAGCAACTACATGGTGGCTCACAACCACCTATAATATCTGGTTCCCCCTTCTGGCCTGCAGGGACATGCAGGTAGAATGTTGTATACATAATAAATAAAGACTAGGAAGGGAAGGGTCTGGAGTCACAGCAAGGAAAGTGTTTCTCCCCCAGACTGTGAGTCAGGCTCACCCAGCATTTCACCCCGTCAACACAACTGATGGACACTGGGCGGGGAGTGGCTAGAATCGTGTAAAGCCACCAAAGGTTTGGGAAGGACTTTGGTTACCTGTCCTTTGTGTGTGTGTGTGGGGGGGAACAGAGGGAGGTGAAGGGGGCTGGTGGAAGGACAGGATCTCTCTCTATCCCAGACTGGCTTAGAACTCACTATGTAACCCAGGCTAGCTAGCCCTGGCCCTCCAAAGTGCTGGGATTCTAGCTGTAAGCCACTATGCCTGCATAATAGCCTCTCAAAACTGGAAAAAGGAATTGGAGTGGAGTAAGGTACTCCAGTCAGCCTCTGGAGTATGTATGGGGTGAGAAGCTGCTTCTAAAAAATAAAAGCAACCACTAAACCCTGGTTGAAAGGAGCCCCTCCTTTTCCAATTATCCTCCCTCTCCACTGAGATATAATTCCCTAACTACTAAATCATTTCAGCCAATCCTGTTTGGTGCCCAACTATACAGAAATCTTGTATTATTGGACTCTATAGGTGGAATTTCCTAGACATCCCCCGTTAGCTGGAGTAGAAGTTCTCTTCAGTGCATTTTTGGGACCACAAAGTTCCATCCTGAGTCCCCTGACTGGCTGTCTCAAGGTCCTGCCTGCAGTTGTTGAGGCATGTCTGGGCACACATTAGTGGGCCTATGTGAGTGTTAGAGGAACACACCTTTGAAATAGAAGTACTAAGTGATCCCAAGGACTCCAAATTTAATAAGACTTTTTTGACATTCCATTCCCAAAGATAATGGTTTGTCACTTAAAACAATAATTGTAGGGTATACTAAATTGAAGCCATCGGGAGCCATGTCTTGGTTAGATAGTATTTCTCCATTTAACTTTGCCTTGCTATGGCATTTTTAAGGTGTGAGAGGAAGTCAAGGGATGAAAAATGGAAAAGCTTAAGACAGCGCTGAAAATGGTAAAGACTGGCAATACTTGAGATAGGGGATAGAGAAAATGTTTTCAGGCATTGTGGAAAACCTAGCTCTTCTTTCTGTGTGTGTGTCTGTGTGTGTGTGTCTGTTTCTCATCTGCATGTGTGTGTGTGTGTCTGTGTGCCTTGTATCTGTGTCTTTGTGTGTGTATCTGTGTGTATATGTATACCTGTATGTTCTATATATGTGTGTATGTGCATGTCTGTGTCTTGTGTATATGTGTGTCTGTCTGTATGTCCATCTAACTGTGTGTATGTGTCTGTGTGTGCTTGGTTTTTTCAGTCTTGTTAAGGAGAAGCAGCAATCTGAAATTTACATCTGAAGTACATTTTTAGAACATGGATTTTTGAAAATATTTAAAAGCCAGGTACTATACATATGTTTGTTGTTATTGTCCCCTTGTGGTCCAGTCTGTAGTATAGGGTGGGATTCCTCAAGTAGGTTTTATAAAAAGAAAGGTAAATAGTGCCCTCTTCTGGTACTATGAGATATGTGCAAACAAAGGCGAAATGTGTTGTTTATTAGAATAGTAATGTCTTAGGACTTACTACTATTTAAAAATTATTTAATAAGTCTTGCTTATTTTGATGTACAGCTGGGAACTTTTGTAGCTATTACTTATTTGGTGGTAGTTTTATGAGCCAACTTCTCTTTTTACACATATGTGTGGAACATTTGACCACAAGTTGAATAGCCTGTTCTTTGTGACTGCCCCTTTGATGCAGAATTGGCTTGAGACCTTTGCTCACATCAAGAAATCTGATTCTTACAGCTGAATTCCAGAGTTGTTGCTGCTTAGTGATTTACCAGTAAGAGACTTTGTACTAAGAAAACAAAAAGGAACTGTAAATATGGGAAAGTAATAAATTTTTCTTAGTAATTTTTTAAATTGTCTATTCTCAGCTAGAACTCCTCAGTAAACATCTGGGACTGCAGAGACACACCCCTGTCTTTGATGCCCAGTAGAATTTTTAAGTGAAAATCACTGTGTTCTTTGTTTGTTTGTTTTTCAAGACAGGGTTTCTCTTTAGCTTCAGAGCCTGTCCTGGAACAATCTCTGTAGACCAGGCTGGCCTCAAACTCACAGAGATTCACCTGCCTCTGCCTCCCCAATGCTGGGATTAAAGGTGTGCGCCACCACTGCCTGGCCAATCACTGTGTTCTTATTTTGGAAACTAAATAAGCATTTGCTGAGTACTTTCATTATACACTGTACAGTGTACTTCAAGGACAGGGGCACTTCAGAGATGCCCAAGATGGCCTCTGACTTTAAGTCATCTTATGCTCCAGTAGACAAGACAGCCAGGCTGCATATGATGTTAGATTTGGGGGTACAAGAAAAAAAGGGAGGAAGGATATAGGCCCAGGAGCATGTATCAGTTATTCATTTGGAAAGGGAAGTGTTCAGAAAGGCTATGTTTTAAACAGAGTGATCTTGGGATTAGAGAGTCAGCTTTCAGTTGTGCCCTAGAAGTTCTTTATGGTAGAGTGTGCTTCGTCCAGGTGAAAAGCCCAGCATGTGTTCCCTCAGCTCTTGGGCTCTGCAGGCTCTTTTATTTGTATTTGATTCTGTGTCAGGCATTGCTCAGAGCCCTGAAAAGACAACATGGGAGTTGTGGCTCTGTCTCAGGTAGCTTATGTGGAGGAAGGGAGGTGACTTTACCTAGGGACTCTAGGAGATCTATCTGACTCAGTCAACCTTATACCTGCGCTGCTAGTTGCAATCCAGCTTGTCAACATAGCTCTTTACCTTACTGGTTAAAAGCACAAGATCTGGAGGCCAACTGGGCCCAGGCTCCATTTTCCATGCCTGCAAACAAAACCTTGTGGCAGCATACAGAGGATCTCCTAGACTTGTTTTCTTTGGAGCAAAGGAGTTTTGGTTACTGATTTGATTGTTGTGTTGGGAATGAACCCTCATACATGCTAGGCAAGAGTGTGCCTTGCTTTTTCATTAACTTCTTAGGGTAGTTTTTTAGTTACCTTTTTATTGCTGTGACAAGACACACTTATCACATGACCTAGACAATTTATAGAAGAATTTATTGGTTATGACTTCAGAGGGGGAGTGCATGCCTTTATATCAGAAGTATGCCACCAGGAAGGCAGGCATGGTGCTAGAACAGTAGCTGAAATATTACAGCTACTCCTGGGCTCTGACATAATCTTTGAATTTAATAGGTCATCTTCATTTGTCGTGGGTAGGGTTATATTGATACGTTTTTGTTTGTTTTGAGACAGGGCTTTACTGTAGCTCAAGCTGTTCTCAGACTCACAGTCCTTCTGCCTTTGTCCCATGAGTGCTGGGATATAGGCAGGTACCACCAAGCCAAGCTTTGTAATTTTATCAAAGAGAGATGGATGCTTCCTTCTTTTTCTCATTTTCTTTCTTGTTTTTGTATAACCTCAAGGATGACAAAATTATCAATCAAGGTAGTGTTATTTTGTTAATTTAAACTTTTAAATGTAGTTAAAAACCAAAACTGTCTTTAAAAATATACTACTTCTCTTCTTGGATGGAGTAGAAACCAATTGCTTCAGACCACATTGAGCGGGAAAAATACTTCCAAAATTCTTTGTACGCTCCAGTAACAAGCTTTTCACAGAGCTGGCAAACAGCACTTGGGTTTAAATCCTGGCCGGTGTGTCTAAATCCAAAACCTGAGTTCCTTTCGTCCGAGAACTCTCTCCCCCCTCTCTCTTCCTTTTTCTTCTTCCTTTCTCTCTCTCTCTCTCTCTCTCTCTCTCTCTCTCTCTCTCTCCTTTTCTTTTCTTTCTTTCATTCTTTCTTTTTTTTTTTTTTTTTTTTTTTGAGACAGGGTTTCTCTGTGTAGCCTTAACTGGCCTTGAACTCACACTGTAGACCAGGCTGGCCTTAAACTCAGAGATTCACCTGCCTCTGTGTCCTCAGAGTTGGGAGTAAGTTGTGCAACATCACCATCCAGCTTGAGAACTTTCTCTTAAAGACTAACTATCGATTACTCAGAATCTTATTTTGTTTTGTTTTGTTTTTTGAAACAGGATTTCTCTGTGTAACTTTGGAACCTGCCCTGGAACTCACTCTGTAGACCAGGCTGGCCTCGAACTCACAGAGATCCACCTGCCTCTGCTTCCCAAGTGCTGGGATTAAAGGCATGTGCCACCACTGTCCAGCTCAGTTACTACTTTTTTATTTCCTGGTTTTCAGTGTGACAAATACAAGACTGGAGTTATTGATGGACCTGCATGCAGTAGCCTCTGTGTCACAGAAACACTGTACTTTGGGAAATGTTTATCCACCAAGCCCAACAACCAGGTATGTACAGTAAATAAGTACTCTAGAATGTCAGTAAGTCTAACCATCATCATCATCATTATCAATTATTGTTTTTTTTTTTTTTTTTTTTTTTTTTTTGCTACAGTGTCATACGTACCTCATACTGGGCTCTGACTCTCTGTGGCTGTAGCTTTTCTTAATCATGTTGTCTCCATCTTCTAAAGAGCTGTCTCTACAGTTATGTACCACTGTACCTGGGTGGTAAACTTGAATTTTCCCTTAAACTAAGATAATTATTTAAGAAATTATTAAAAAAAAAACCACACTCACCAAGAGCCATGAACTGAACCCCTATCTCTGCCTCTGCATGCAACTCATGACATATGGATATTTTTGTATTCAAAAATCAGTGAACCCAGTTGTAAAGAGACAGGGTACCATAACTGCTTCACAAATATAGGGAGTATGTTTTTATCATTACACATGACTGGTCTATCACATAAACACAGATGTCTAGAAGGGATGCTGTGAAGCATAAGCCATCTAATCCAGCCTCAGGCTCACACACAAAAAAAAATCATTTAAAAAAAAAAACAAAAGACAAAAAAAACAAAATAAAAAACAGCAGTGGTTGACAGACACCTTTAATCCCAGCACCTGGGAGACAGAGGCAGGTGATCTCTGAGTTTGAGGACCAAGTTCTAATACATTCAGGGCTACAAGGAGAGACCCTGTCTTAAAAATAAATAAATAAATAAATACAAAAAAAATAACAAAAGACATTCCCATCCCAAATAGAGGAATGAGGGGACAGAAAGGAGAGGCTGGACATGTTCAAATTTAAGTCCTACAGACTCAGACACACTGTGACAGGTGGGCCCTGAGGGGAGTTGAGGCTGAAGACCACTTGTTATGTTGCCTGTAATACCCTCAGTAAACATTTCTTGTTCTTCAAATCCATCTCTTTTGAGTTTCCATTGCAATTGACTTTAGTCCAAACTTAACACACCATTTAGGGAGCTGTTTGCAGGAAACTCTGCCTTGCATAAAATGTAATAAATACTAGATTATTTTAATTTGATATATACCCACTTAAAGTCCATTATTTTCCCACCAGCCTGAACATCTTAGGGAGACACTATATCCTAGCTACACATTTTTGTGCATTACATAAAAGTACAAAGTCTCCTCCCAAACTAGAGACCAGAGAAATAGAACATAGTGGACCTTAGTTTTTTGCCTCACATCCTTTTAATTCTACTTTTCAAAAACTATATTTAGCTATGCATTATGTTCATCTTTTAAAAGTCATTCAAGGGAAAAGCTTTGGGAATACTTCAGATTGGCACTCAGAAATGAAGTCAGGAGCTGGGTTTCCTGGTTTGTGCACATAGTATTTAGGAGGTTGAGACAGGAGGATTTGAGTTTGAGGCCAGTCTGAGACTGTCTCAAAAAGGCAAAAATAAAGTCATAGCTCTAGCTGAGTTGTTCAGTGCTTGTTTATATTTTGTAGAAAAGGACCTGAAAAATGCAGCTGCATGCTTTGTACAGTGTCCTCTCACATAATACATAACGGGCCATCCTTCTTTCTCACAAAGATGTATTTAGGGATTTGGGATAATCTACCAGGGGTTGTGAAATGTCAAATGGAACAAGCTCTTCATCTTGATTTTGGAACTGAACTGGAGCCAAGGAAAGAAATAGTGCTATTTGATAAACCAACCAGGGGAACTACTGTACAGAAATTCAAAGAAATGGTCTACAGTCTCTTTAAGGTGAGTACATCTAGTCCTTACACCTCCAGTATGAAGGTGCATTCTTATAGAGGAACCCACAGGACCCTGTCTTAAATCATCATATTGTTGACATTCGTTTACTTCCCTCAGAGACTCCATCTAGAAGAAATGATTCCAAAGAAAGGGAAAATAAATTTGAGCTGGGTGTTGGTGGTGCAAGCCTTTAATCCCAGGACTTGGGAGGCAGAGGCAGGAGAAAACTCTGAGTTGGAGGCCAGCCTGGTCTGGTGCAAGCCTTTAATCCCAGGACTTGGGAGGCAGAGGCAGGAGAAAACTCTGAGTTGGAGGCCAGCCTGGTCTACAGAGCTAATTCCAGGACAGGCTCCAAAGCAATACAGAGAAACCCTGTCTCGGAAAAACAAACAAGAGGGAGGATTTGGAAGATGCTAACCTTTATATTACTTATAATAGCTGTACATAGAATTGAAGGGTACTGGATCGCTGCACATTTTGACATTCAACTGGTAACCAGAGGCTGGCATGGTGGTTTATACCTGTAATCTCAGCTACTTTGGAGACTGAGGCAGGAGAATTGCCTCAAGTTTGAGGCCAGTTTTGTTGGACTACATAGTTAAGTTTCAGAGCAGCCTGGGCCACAGTCTGAGGCAGTGTGCATAAATAATAAATCTGATACCAAAAAAGTGAAATAAAATTAATGTAGTCTAGATACCTGGATTCCCATCCTGTCCTTTCCTCTTATATGGGGAATGAACCAAATATCAATAAACTGTATCCTTAGTCCTTCCCTTTTATCTTTTTAAAAGCTTACTTTGAAACAGACTAACTTGACCAGACTGGCTGGAATTTTCTTTCCAGCCTGGTACCACAGCTGCTTTACCCCAAATAGACACACAAAGACTTATATTAATTATAAAACTGTTGGCCCATGGCTAGGGTTAGCTCTGTCTTAGTTATCAACCCATTTCTATACTTCTATACATCTGTGTATCTCCACGTGGTGTTGGCTTACTGGAGAATGCTTGGGAACCGGTTCCTCCTTTCTCCACTACATGGGGTCTCCTTGCAGTCTCCCTCTGTCTACCTTTCCCAGCACTCTCATCTCCTAGTCCCGCCTGTCTTTCTCCCTCAATTGGTCAAACAGTGTTTCAGGCATCAACTAATAAGAGAAATATATACAGGACATTCCTCATCAGAATCCTCCTGCCTTAGCCCTCTGAGTAACTAGTATTATAGGTGTGTGGTGTTATTAATTAAACCTAAAGAAATTCAAGTTTGTTAATGATTATAATCCCAGGACTTGGAAGACAATGGCAAGAGAATCAGTTCAGGGTCTGTTTTGGCCTACATTTGACCATCTCAAAATAAAATTAAAAAAAAAAAATGCTTTAGATTTACTTACTTTCAAAAATAAAGTGATTAGAAGTGATTTACTTTTTATTCTAGGGAGATGGCTCAGAATAAAGTCAGTTGCCACCAAGCCTATTAACTAGGAGTTCAATCTCCAGAACCCACGTGGAAAGAGGGAACTGATCTCCCCAAGTTGTCCTCCAGCTTCCACCCCCACACCAAATTCATACACATTCTGCATGTACACACACATGCACACAATAAACGTATATAATAATGCTCAGTAGTTGGGAGATGCAGAGAATTCTTTTACTCTGTGGCAAGATAACTGCTAACATGGTGACATAACCTACAAGAACTGGTTTTTACATAGATGCCTTTGGTTATGTTTTGGACTAGGGATTAAATCCAGGACCCTCACACAGTACTATAGACTGGAACTTAAGAACCACATAACAGCTTTTTAAGACTCAGATTTACTTGCTAAGCTACACAAACCTAAGGGTCATCCTAGCTTTCATTCCTTTGTAACTTGACAATTTTTATGTTGACAGGCAAAATTAGGTGATCAAGGAAACCTCTCTGAATTGGTTAACCTCATCCTGACAGTGGCCGATGGAGACAGAGATGGCCAGGTCTCCTTAGGAGAAGCCAAGTCAGCATGGGCACTTCTCCAGTTGAATGAGTTTCTTCTGATGGTGATACTTCAAGATAAAGAACATACCCCCAAACTAATGGGATTCTGTGGTGACCTCTACGTGATGGAAAGTGTTGAATATACCTCTCTCTATGGAATAAGTCTTCCATGGGTCATTGAACTCTTTATTCCGTCTGGGTTCAGAAGGAGCATGGACCAGTTGTTCACACCATCATGGCCCAGAAAAGCCAAGATAGCCATAGGACTTCTAGAATTTGTGGAGGATGTTTTCCATGGCCCATACGGAAACTTCCTCATGTGTGACACTAGTGCCAAAAACCTAGGATATAATGAGAAATATGATTTGAAGATGGTGGATATGAGAAAAATTGTGCCAGAGATAAACTTAAAGGAACTTATTAAGGATCGCCACTGTGAGTCTGACCTGGACTGTGTCTACGGTACAGACTGTAGAACTAGCTGTGACCAGAGCACAATGAAGTGCACTTCAGAAGTAATACAACCAAACTTGGCAAAAGCATGTCAGCTACTCAAAGACTACTTACTGCATGGTGCTCCAAGTGAAATCCGGGAAGAACTGGAAAAACAGCTGTATGCTTGTATTGCTCTTAAAGTCACAGCAAATCAAATGGAAATGGAACACTCTTTGATATTAAATAACCTAAAAACATTATTGTGGAAGAAAATTTCCTACACAAATGACTCGTAGTTATTTGGACAGCATTGCCATCTTTGAGAAATACATATGATTTTAAGAGCATTTAAAAGAATGGCTTTTGCCTTGTGGGCCTATGAAGCTATCTAAATGTGCTGTGACAGTAATGGCATGTGTAGGGCCAAGAGATGTCTAAAACTCATTCCTGCCCGGTTATAAGTTCACAAGTACATTCACTGTTAACTATTGACTGACTTAAAGATAAATTAATGCTGTGAAAAGCCTCATTCCATAAACAGTGAGTGCTCTGTAGACCTGTTAGCAAATCCCATTGCTGGACACATTGTTTGCATTGAAGCTGCTGTCTAAACAAGGAAATTTATGTATGAATTTACTAATGTTATAGCATGGTAAAACTTTGCACATTAACACAAATTAAAGACACCACATAGGTAAATTAAAATGACTCCTTTTATTAAAAGTTTGGGTTTATAGCATGGTTTATTATAATCACACATTATGACTTCAGATGGAGGAAACTGTTGGACTTTTAGCTTCAGCATATATCCCACATCCAGTGATCACTGTGACTGAAATTAGGTGCTCTGATGGGTTCATCAACCAGCCAACAGACATTATCTTAGGCTGAGGAATATAAAAAATTAACTTTTCATGAAGCCCCAGTATCACAAAGACCCTGACAGAGACCAGCAGTGATCCAAAACCTAAACCACTACAGCTGACACACAGATAAGCATCTATTAAGATGATGCATCACCCAGTTCTTTCCCTTATAAAGCAAGATTTAATGTTTGACCATTTCAAGTTATTTTCCTATGTATATTCAGGTCTGGCATAGACCTTTCAGTATCTGCATAAAGCAAAACCTAGGAAAGCCACAATACTTTCTCTTTAAATTGTTAAATCTGTAAACTTGTCTTCCAATCTTCCAGCCATGGATTCACACTGGTTTGCTTTCAAGATTGACTTTGAGGTACTTTCCCCACTATCTACTTGTAATAAATGGATGGAAGCTCTATGTCCCTGTGATCACAGGTCTGTTGCTTTCACCAAATTGACAAGCTAAAGGGCAGTGACTCCTTCCATGAAGACTAGAAACCCAAGAGCTCTGTTGGAGTCCATGTAAGACATCTTTTTCTGGGAAAAAACTAAGTTGTTTTGTGGAAGGAAAAAAATTCTCAGCCAGGAATAGTGGTTCTCGCCCTTACCCACAGAGGCCAGTGGACCTGAGTTCCACTCTTTGTTTTCATGACTCCATACTATACCTACAGTTTCATAATAACAGCTTAACACAGAAATGGCTGCTTAGTCAATAAGTTTATTATCTTTATGAAAAATCTTCATAGAAAATTGTTTTAGCTCTCAGCAGCCCGTTCTTGAGCTCTGAGGAAGCTTGCCTTCTTTTGAGCAACCCGATCTTTCTTCTGGGCCAAAGACATTTTGGGACGGTTCCACCTTAAAAAGAAAAAGTTAAAAAAATAACATAGGAATATTATCTCCCAAGTCACTTTGTAAACAGATGGAGGTTAGAACTCTCATTCGGAGATGTCACTTTCTTTTAAGGTGGCTTTGAACGCATGGCAATCCTCCTGCCTTAACCTCTTGAGTGCAGAGATCACCAACTACCACACCCATTTCAAGTTCTAATGCACACAATCAAGTGTCAATGGCTAGATTCTCATTGCTCATTACATCTAAAACTCAAAGCCACTCTCGGCTGAGCATGTGGCTCATATCTACAAGCTCAGTACTCAAGGCTTGGAGGCAGGATTGTCCTGGGACAGAATGGGCACCTCAGCAGCTCTCCGAGGAGGGAACATTGCTATCACCACAATTGCTCTAGCAAACATGGTTCCCTTAGCTACTGCCACATTGTGCAGAGCTAGTGATCGAGTTTGCACAACTGCCCCAAAAACCAAGTGGACAATGAGATGAAAATGGCAGAGCACATACCTCTTTTTCTTCACCTCTCTCTTGGGCTTCTTCTCATAGACGGGATTCTCTCGGATAGCAGCATGAGCTTTCTTATACATCTCCTCCATCTGGAACAAAGCAAAGCAAACAGTATTTGCCTTCACTTCAGATGCCCTAGGATTACAGTACAGTACTTTATTTACTGCCTGCTCCAATTTATCCTGCTAAATCTCAGGAATTTAAGCTAATGTTACCTGCTTAAATCCCAAAGTTAATCCACCTTTTCCTTACAGCATTCTCAATGTCTACTCAAGTGAGAAGGCAGCCATGCCTAGAGTCCATATTTTTGTATAAAATTTGAAAAAAAAAAACCCCACAAAAACTTATTTTTATACAAATATACCGTACTCTAGTCTACTGCAAAATATACAGGGAAAAGAAAGAGACTCTGACAACTGAGTCTAAGGACAAGGACATGGGGAAGGAGGACCTACCAAATTTGGAAAGCATTAATTTCTTTTATCATCTCACCCAAGATTTACAACCTACTTTTACATGCCGGGCCTTTTAAAGCAATTCCCAGCACCAAAGACATACTCTAACATTGCCAATTTTAGTATGTATCAGCTACTACAGTCTCTAGAACCCCAAACATGAGCTATTTGGTTAGATTTCATTGCTAAAAACTTAGTTTTAGAGCTCATTAAAAAAAAAAAAAAAATGTTGTAATCCTGAATGTTAGTGTTAACTGCAGCCCCCTTAAGAAGAAGGTTCAAGAATTAGGTTGTAAGAACTAGATCCCCGGCATGTTTTTTTTATTGAAATGACTGTGATCCAACTTTGTAAACTGACTCGTTACATATGGACAAAGTGGAAAAAGAGGAAATAATTCAGGAAGACTCAGTCTCTCTAGTGTTGGTAGAATTACATGTCTCAAAACCCCCTTTAAAATTTAATTTCTTGCCAGGCAATGGTTGGTACATGCCTTCAATCCCAGCACTCAGGAGGCAGAGGCAAGATCCCTGTGAGTTTGAGGGCAGCCTGGTCTACAGCAATTTCCAGGACAATCAGGGCTACATAGCAAAACCCTGTCTTAAAAAAACAAAACAACCACGTGCTTGGCTGAACATAGCACAGGCCTGTAATCCCAGCACTCTTTATACATGCTGGGAATCCATCGGAGAAAATAAATTCCCCTCTTCAGCACTATCATACAGTTCACCAAAGCTAGCAAGTCTGCCTGAAAACTGGAGATGGTCAATGTTAATCTACATGGTTCTTCCCAATAGAGAATACAGCTTCACACATACAGACGAGGGAAATGACTTAGGTAAAAATCATTCACACTGAAAATATGTCTACAGAGAATTCTACAGGCACATACACAGACAGGAAAAGAAATGTTCCAGATAAAACGAACTACGGGACACAAACAAGCTCAGTATGCAAGCATGCACACTTAGCCCTGCAAAACACCCTACAGAGGCATTGAGAAACAGCATCTGGAGGATGGAGAGATGGCTCAGGCTGCTCCAGAGGTTCAGAATCCTATTTCCAGCAACCACATGGTAGCTCACAACCATCTACAATGGAAACCAATGCCCTCCTAGATTTCTAATATCAAATTCACTCTTGCAAACACAATTCCTCCCGCGTTCTACTTTTACAAACCACCTGTACAGCTCCCTAGGATTTCAAAACTCTAAAATGTATTTTTCATTCCATTCAAAAGTAAATACTAGTCACAGCAGGGCATGGTAGTTTGTCTTTTAACTCCAATACTAGGGTTTGGGAGGGAGGTAGAGGCAGTTCAAAAGCAGCCCAGGACTAAATAACAACTCCCTGGGTAAATTCAGGAAATCATCCCCCCAAAGAAGGGGGGGGGAGAGCAGGATTGTCCTGGGACAGAATGGGCACCTCAGCAGCTCTCCGAGGTGGGAACATTGCTATCACCACAAATGCTCTAGCAAACCTGGTTCCCTTAGCTGCTGCCACAATATGCAGAGCTAGTGATCGAGTTTGCACAACTGCACCGAAAACTTGACTGGGAAGATGAAGCAGGCAGTGCAGGAACCCCATTCCTGCTACACCTATTTGCATCCAAGGTTTTAAATGCTGCAAGCCCACTTATACCAGCACATAAAAATTCTTTCCCCACCCAATATGCTAACTTCACTTAAGGCAGTCGCAGCTCAGGAGCCTATCTTTATCCACGTGCAACCTTCCATTTTGCAATTGAAATAAACCTTCATTAAGATTATACAACCCACTGAAAAAGTGTTGGGCATATCAGGTAAATTTTTACCATGTCTGGAGTAACGTTGTTCTTGATGTACTGGGAGAACTGTTTCTTGTAAGCATCTTCATCTTCCTCCATTAGGTAACGCATGTAGTCTGCGACATTCTGTCCCATGATGTGTTTCCGATGCACTTCTGCATTGAACTCCTTACTTTCAGAATCATAACCAGGGAATCGTTTGGTACTAAAATGAAAATTTCATATTTTAGTGTACAGACAAGAAATTACTACACTCCCAGGAATTCACTTCAGGAGCTGCCATCAGTCCCGTCTTGAAACAATTATTGCATCATATGCAATCAAAGGACCAACTACTAATTGCTCAGTTAGTGGGATGTCATCACCAGCAGCTCATCTCTGAATTCCACCAAGTTAAAAATGCCACAAATTTGCTTTTCATCCTCATAGGTAGTCTAAACTATAATACAGTTTATTATATATATAATATACAGTCCTATATATATTTTATTATATATATACTATATTGCCCAGGGCAATCTCAAACTCCCGGGCTTTCATCCTACTGCCCCCAAAGCATTCACATAGCTGTGTCAGCGTGTCTACAACTGTCAACAGTGCTGGCTAGCACATTTCCCAAAACCCATCCTTCAAATTCTTTTTTTCCTCATTGGTACCTAGGATAAGGAATTAGATTTGTGTAGTCACAATCAAAATATTTGAAGGGAAATTTTAAGTCAATATGCCATTATCTACTCAACAAACATGCACTAACTTCCTGTTCTCTAGTTCCTTGTGCATGGACGGTATCTGACACAGAGCAATCACTGGATGTGTTGGGAACTAGCATTCTGCTGACCCCGCCACTCCATGATGGGGGGAGCGCTCATGGTCATGACTTACCTGGCTTCTCAAGCTTTACATGGCTGCCAGGGGATTCCCTTTTAAAGTAAGGGCCAAGAGCTCCTCTCCCCCTCCCCCCCCCCCCTCTCCTGCTTTTGGTTGGCCACCGGCTAATCCCCCCTCTTTCTCTCCCCTCTATTAATAAACTCCACGTGGGTGCTAAGTCTTGTGCTTGTGTTTCATAGGCAATAGCTGCAGCAAAAGAACAACATGGACAAACATCAGCCAGTGACAGTCAAGGCAGAAAGCCTGGAAACATGCATTACCTGTGAGGGATAGACAAGCCTCCATCCACAGCTCCCTTCAGGGCCCCAAAGACTTTATTGCCAGTTGTGGTTCGGGCAAGACCTGCGTCCAAATAGCAAGTGAAGGCACCAGGCTGACCATCAATGCTCTCCACATTGTACTCATCTCCAGTCACCTCCACTTGGCCTTCATAGATCTTGTCCATACCAAACCTATTGAGAAGCTATAAATAGAAGTCAACATAAAATCTATCATCCAAATGTATTTCATGTCACAATGTAACAATCTGACCCTTAAATTTACTTGTGTGATTTATTTCTTCAGTCTTGTTTGGCTATTAAATGACAAATGTAGTTTTAATAGACTTTTAGGTAGGATCACAGTCTAAAATACTGTCTACAGCTCTGCTTCGTAACATGATTTTATTTAATTTGCATCACCCCTCTACTGGCAAACTATCTGGCCATGGTTCCACGGTTAAGCCAAGGCTTCAATGAAATGTTTTTACCCATCGTAACAAAAATCCCTCTAGAAAAACCGATTTTAGCAACCCGTGATAGGGGTCAATACTGATTGATACATATGCTTGCCAACTACACTGCAAAATGGCCAGAACTGACAGTACAAAAACAAGGCAAAACTCATCACCTCTACCCACCAGTAGAAACTGTCAATCATGCAGAAAACTCGCCAATGTCCATCTCCCAAAGTGGTGAGGCGCTTTCTCAGATTTTAATGTCTATGTAAACCACCTATGATAGCTATCCCATCAAAACAGATGCTAAGGATCTGAAGGAGAATATCCCTAAACCTTCATTTTAATGCAGGCTAGTCAAAAACAAACACCTTTAGGTAGCTGGGTCTTTCAAACTTAAAAACTGAGTTCTGGGCTGGTGGGACAGCTCGGTGGGTAGATACTTTGCTACCAAGCCTGCTGATCAAGGCCCATTCCTGAAGACACACATCACTTGTGCAGTTGTCTTCCAGTATGCCGTGGCAGGTATGTGCCCCCCCCCAAAATAAACAATTTCAAATGCTCAAATGGACAGTAAACCACATAGTTCCCACCACTGAAAAAAATCAGACAGAATTGGTCTAGACAGATCCAGAAACAACAAAGACAAAACCCCATTCCTTGGTGATGGCTTTAAAGCCACAAGGAAACAGCTGACATTCTCCTGAAGCCATAGGTGACTCTTACCCACATGTAAGTAACTCACTGAAGACACCCAGTACATACCCTGCGGGCCAGCAGCAAGCCAGTACAATAGGCTGCAGCATAATTTGTCAGACCAACTTTCACACCATATTTTGGCAGCTCGTGTGCATATGCTGCACAGACTATCATGTCCCCTTCTATACGGGCATATGCAATCTACAACGAGAGAAAAACCAGGTTAGTAATTTGTTGCTTCAGTACTTATACCACCTAAGTGCCTTTTAACAAGACAGGGAGAAGAGACAAGTCAATGAACATCTATCTGTATGGGTGTCACCCTCACTTATTAACTAGAACTTATCACTTGGTCAACTACACAGTAGCTTAGTAAAATTACAGTATGGCCAAAACATACACCACACATTAGAACTTAATTATAATAAGTTACATATAATAAAAAGCAAGGCTGTGGTGGCACACGCCTTTTAATTCCAGCATATGAATCTCTGAGTTCAGGCCTGCCTGGTCTCTGAGTTCCAAAACAGCCAAGAACACACACGAACACAGAAATCCTGTCTCAAATCCCCCAACCCCAAAAATCAAGTAGTCATCAACAACAAAAATCAAATATCTTCTTAGCCATCTTCAACTAAGTTTTAGGTAGTTCATGCTTAATTATCAGAACATAAGACAACACTGCCTTCATAGTCAATAAATTTACACAGAAAGTAAGTACACCTTCCTAACCAGCTAATTTCAGCTACCCATCGTCTGAGCTATAATAAAACTTCTGAACACAGGAACTGCTATGTTTTGAAGGACTTCCTAAGTGGAAGACATTTTTGTACATTTAAAAACCCATTTCAAACAATAAGAAATAGCAAACTTCTTTTTCAAACCACACTTGTTGATAAGTTGACTCAGTGATTAAGCACCCACTTGGCAGCTCACAACTCAATTCCAGAGTACTGGGACACCCTCGTGTAGCCAAAACATCAATGCACATTAAAAAAAAAAAAAAAAAAAAAAAAAGGGGGGGGGGTCTTCCCACTTTCAACCTCTTTTAATGAGTAAGGCACAATCAAGTTAAGAGTCAGGAACTGGGGCATGGCAAGCTCTACTCAATAGTAAATGGGAGACTAGACCTCATACAAACAGGTTCCCCCAGCCTGTAAATTTCCAATCCTGCCCCCAAAGTAGCAATTTTGAAGTCTCAGCTTTAAATCTATTGCTGCAAGAAAAATCATTAGCGACAAAAGGAGTTGTGGGGTCTGATCACATAGACGCTCCAATTTAGAACATAGCTCACCTGGCAGATGATATCTCTGTTAGTTACACGAACTATCATTCTGTATTTGGGTGTGTTGTACTTATTTTTATCCTGGATCACCAATCGTTTCCGAGCATAGTAGTCAGTTTTACCCTCTGCAAGGAGAAAATAATAATTAAGAAGGATGTTCCACCATGAAAAGCTGATGCAGAAACTACAACAGGAAAAGCTGCTCGTACCTCGCCGCCTTCTAAATCTCACTTGGTACCTCTTAAAGTAGGCCTTGTTCTTGACAACTTTCACGAACCCCTTTAAAGTAAAGAAAAAGTTATCAGTGTTTTACTAAATGGTTCATTCAATGATTTTTTTTTTTAAAGACAGGCTGACACTGTGTAGCCTAACTTTGGTAGCTTCTGGGAGCTAATAGGCACAAACCACCTGGTTTTAGTCTCTGTACTTCTGACTTGAGTTAGCTACGTAACAATATAACATCCAAAAGCAAATTAAAACAACTGTCAACTTGTAGCACGTTTCTAAACTGACTGGAATCAAGAATCACCCTAGCACTGTGGTTCTCAATGTGACTGTTCCTCATGCAGTGGTGACCCACAACCATAAAATTCTGTTGCTACTTAACTCTAACCTTGCTAGTTACGAATCGTAACGTAAACATCTGACATGCGACTCCCAACTCACAGGCTGCCCTGGTGGTTTTCTTCGTAAAACATAACTAAACCAAAAAAAGGCTGGCAGGGAGCAAGGCCCCGACCCAAGCCTGAGCGCTCCACAATTGCAGGATCCTACTTAACAGGTGCAAACTCATTTTCGGACTGTCTTTAAACATTCCTTCAATCCCTGTACCTGCTCTCTCGTGAAGTGGTACCAACTGATCCCTGTGCCAGCTTCTGCGAAGTCTCACCCTATGCATCAACCTGTGCCTTAAACTGCACACCTCACCTCGACATTTAACCCCACACTTCCTCCCTGCCTTTGGTGAAAACCTAAACTGAGTGCTTCGGTGCCACGGGACAGAGTACGTTCAGCAGTCACTCTCACGGACACAGAACTTCTCACCGGGTAACGCCACGTACACCCCGAATCCACCTCTCAAGTCCGATTTCAGCGAAACACAGAAAACGAAAGCCAGCCATCAACCAGTTAGCAAGAGGCAAAAGGCGCCCAATGCCAAACGACGCAAGCTCCCTCCACCGACAATCCGGGTCCAAAAGCCACTTCCCCGACCCGGACAGGGACCCCGCACGGCGGCCTTCGAGACAAACCCAGAGGCGTCCGGGGCCGAACGCGGTCCCTGCCCTGCACGTCGTGGACTGGGCAGCCCCTCCCCCCGGCAGCCATTAAGGCCACGCTGGGAGCGGCGGCCGCACAACCGGGAATCGAATGCCATCTGCCCCCTAGGCAGCACGAGTCCGATCCCGAGCGGGCATCGGCGACAGGAGGGGGCGGCCCCCGTGCATGTGCGGCCCCGAGACCTAGATACCCACTCACCATCCTGCGGAACAGACACCCGCAACCGCGGCTCCACACAGACCTGCGGGCCCGGCGGCGCTAGGGGGAAAAAGACCGGACTGTCGTGCGCATGCGCAGTATGTAGCACCGCCAGCACGCACGCGACGTGGGGAAGAGAGCGGCTAGAGGCTTCAAGGCGCATGGCCTGTCTCCCCCTGCTGGCCGGAGGATGAATGTCAGTTTTTTTTTTTGCCTTGTCTAAACTCACAAGCAGGATTGGTGGTGAGAAAAGGAAATAAAGGTTTGGGGTCTTTTTGCTAGGACGTTTGTAGTCATGCACACACA